CTTCCAATCCGTTGGCAATGAGAAGAGCAGGGCCGGTGGACATCAATTATGGCTCGTCTCCAATCCTTACTACCGACCGCTTGTTCGGTATCCGAGGCAATTGCAACCTCCTAAGTCCTGCCGGTAGTGCTGATGAGGCGGATTTTGGTGTTGGTCGTAATCTCGACGAAGAGAGCCGAGTTCTACCAAATCGTGGAGCGGCAAGAGAACTTGTACATCGACACTTTTCCACAAACGAGATGACACAAGAAATGGAGGTGAGGAAGTGCACCGAACCGGGTAGGTGAGATTGCGAGTTGAACAATTGTGAATGATGATTAATTTGTGGTGTAGAGTCAGCCTGTAGCCTTCATACCGGGAATTTACCAGTAAATTTGTTGTAGAAATAGCAGTCACTAAGTCGCATGTCCTAAAATGACGAAAACAAAGGTCTCGATATAAATAAGGAGAGTGAAGTTTTTTTCCCGATGATATCAGTGAATTTTGAAGAGTATCTGGGTTTAGAAGAATCTCTTGAGACAACAATGTCGTGGAAGCTTTCATCTCGTATGAAATGGCATGAATAAAAGATTCATAGATTGATCTCACCGGAAGACGGTGGCTGATTCCCGTTGTACTGCTGTCAGTTATTTCTAATACGACCTTCAGACTGACACAGTCCCTCATTTCAGGTGAAAACGAGCTGATGAATATCATCAAAGTTGGAATCCATTCTTGTTAAAGACTGTTCGACTCTATCTTACCTCTTATATATAATCATGACTAAGAGACGAAAATCTGTATACATTGATAGATATACAATTAGTTGGCTAATTCCCTTTCATATTGGTCATGGTACTTTTACTTGAGTGTGTGTGTGTTTGTGTTACCGTCTATACGCAATATCGGTCCTAAATTATAATAATTAAAAAAGAATATCAGGCTCAATTCATCATGCTTTAATGAACTAAGAAAAATCCCTGACCAAGACTGCATGAGTCTGTAAGCAACTCTAGTTGAGATAATAGGATGTAAGCTTGTAAGCATGTTAATCAGGTTAGGAAACAACCTGTCATGTCCTGTCCATCTAGGGCCGTTAGGCTTTAATGACCCAAGGAAGGGCGTTACAGGCAACTGCGGAATCTCCTACGTTTGGTCTGGGTGATGAGCTTAATCTTCATGTTGGACAAGTGGATGAGTTTGACACCATAACTGGGCTGACGGATTGTGTCGCCTTCTTCTGGATGGTGGCCCTCTTTCTCTTTCAATATTTCTATCAGGCATAAATAGTTTTGTAATGAGATGTA